TGTCCCTATCCCCACCGAAGAGGTGCAGACAGTGGGCCAAGCCCTTCGGACCTTCATTAGTTGGCCCCGACATTTAGTTAGGTCAATCATGGCAAAGGTATGTATATGTATGGTTATAATACATCTAACACATAAATAAATTGATTTATTGTTTATGATTATATTTTATAAAATATGTAGGATGTTCGACGACCAAAAGACTTGGGTAAAGCTATTGCCACTCCTTCGCATCTAAGGAGAAGACACCAGTTGTGGAGACTTCTCCAAATCCCATTTTTGATCTCTTGTCTCTTTCCCCATATGCAGTCATTCCAAGTTCCATGGGATTGTACATTATTTGGGATGGCTTCTAGCAATATCCCCTCTACATTTCCCACATCGATGCCCTGGAGATTGGGATGGGCAATCAATGTCTAAATATAGTCGTTTTACAATTTTGGACATTGTAAGTTCATATCTTTCATGACTCTTTTCATTTTAGTAAATATATAAGCTTTAAGTTCACTTAAATTGGCATATTTTAGGATGATGCACGAAATGATAGTGGAGCAGGGCATTGGTCACGTGTATGGATTCTTCGAGCCTCAATCCATACAAAAGTCCGGGAATAAGCGTGATCAAATTGTCAGTTACATCCGGAATTGGATGACTGTCTCTAAAAGAGATATTTACCTTGGAGCATACCATCATTCGTAAGTTATCCCGAGCCTCTTCCGGTTTTACACAAGTTTTTTTAATAGATTCTAATCATGTGTATATACGTAAACCACTCGCGACTATTAGTTATTTGTCCAAAGCAGAATCTTGTGTGTTGGTTCTCGCTCATTGGGAAGAAAACCGGACATGGAGCTAAAAAATATTGTAAACGAGTAAGTATTTATTATATTATGTCTAAACATCTTGATTATTCTATTTCTAATCCCCTTATTTTCAATATATAGTGCTTTAAAGGTTTGTAGTACATTAGATGGAAAACACACAAGTAAAAGCACAACTCCAAATTGGAATTTTATGAAAGTAAGTAGCCTTTATATATATTATACTATCTATTAATTTACGTTCAAATTTAATAGTTATTTTTAATATATTTACTCATTTTTAGTGTAACAAACAAAATGGAGGCTACGAGTGCGGCTACTATGTAATGTATTGGATGTGGCTCATCATTTTTGTTGCATTCGGGATAGTTGGGACGAGGTAAGTTGACATTTGCTATTATATTCAATTCCTTTATTTTTATTGCTTAGGGTTTACCATTCTATTATTGTGAACTTCTTACAGGCATTTAAAGATATAGAACCTTTGCCTATGGATACAATAGACATGGTTAGAAACAAATGGGCGAAAGGTTTGTGCAAGTAGTTAGGAATAATAGGATTGATTGATAATTTTTGTGTATTATGTACATAATGTGGTTGGACCGAGATTGTAAGTGTATTGTGTAAATATATAGTGATTATGTGAATCTGGCTGAGATTGTGTATTGTGTATATATTATGTATTGTGTAAATCTGGCTGGACTGAGATTTATATAGCAGGTCGTGTATGGTAGCACAAAAACAGACCAAAATTTAAAAAAAAAAATGGATATTCTACGTCGGTTATTGCACTAACCGACGTTGAAACGTCTTTCGCTTGAGCAAAACGTCGGTCGCTTGAGCGAAACAGCACCCGAGCGCCCCCTTTGTTTGAAGGCTTCGTCGGTTATCCAATAAGCGACGTAGAATTTACTCATTTCTACGTCGCATTTACATTAACCGACGTTGTGACGTCGGTCGCTTGAGCGAAAACTCGGTCGCTTGAGCGAAACAACAACCGAGGGTCCCTTTGGTTTGAAGGTTTCGTCGCTCAAGCGAGTACACGGGTCGCTTGAGCGACTTCAACGTCGGTTAGTTCAATAACCGACGTAGAATTTAGTCATTTCTACGTCGGACATTTGCTTAACCGACGTAGATGTCTACCACTTTCAACGTCGGGTATGATGAACCGACGTAGAATCCTTTGACATTCAACGACGCTTGATTCAACGACGTCATTGGAACCGACGTTGAAAGCCTTCTACACCCGACGTTGAATGCTCGTTCTGCAGTAGTGAATATTTTCAATTTTATAGTAATTTTTACTATCCCGTTAATTTCTTTAACTTATGATAAAAGAAAGTTACATATTAAGCACCACCAAATAAAGAGATTTAGTAGCACCGGATAAAATCATAACAAGATTTAAAAAAAAAAATAGTTAGAGCATCAAAATAAGATTATAAAAAAAAAAAAAAAGACATTTAAAGACCAAATTTTTGGTTGCCAAATGACAAAATTCAGTTACCATAAAAAGTAAAATCCTTTAAGTTCAATACTTAGGATTAAAAATTTAGTTTACTATAAACTTAATTTACTTAAAATAAAATTCCTTGACTGAATTTGTAGTTTATCTTCTCTATTTCCTCGGTTATCTATCATGACCTTATTGCGAAGCTTCTTATGGTTTATCTCGTAGATCAATCCATAACCTCCAATTTTTGCTGGCTTAATTTTCCGTAAAAAAATCCTTTCTTCCTTTCCTATTTAATATTTTTAACAATATTTGTGTCTTTTACCCTTTATTTTTTTTTATGTTTTATGATGCTTACAAAAATAAGAATTTTCAAAAGAAATAGTTTATATGAATAACGAAAATTAATATAATCATAATGAAATTAAGGAAAACGTTATGCACAAAGAAAAAATTTTAAACTTGGTAGAAAGGATTGAGAGGACAATCAAAGTGCAAAATAAAGAATAGGGTTTACGGTTTATAATTTTTTAGAAAAAAAGAAAATATATATCTGGTAGTGTTAGGAATGAAGGAAAAAGGAGTGCAATTAGAAACTTAGGGTAATATAAATAGTAAAAATTTTCAAGTTAAGTTACTAAAGGATGATTAAAAGCCCTTTGGGCTACCACGCATTAAAATTATTATCCATACAGATGAGGCCCAATTATCAATAAAGATAGCACACAATAATAAAATTGTGAGTGGACGCAGTAAAATGGATTCAGCTTTTTTCATCTTTAACGACAAGTAAATTTTAGACCATTCTCTCATTCCACATTAAATGCAGCCAGAGTATTTAATCTAATTATTTTCCGTTTATATACTCTATTTGTAATGTTAAAAATTTATACATGATACAAATTATTATTTTATCTAATTATGTAACTTGTAAATATAATATTTTGATTATAATCTGTTAGTTAAAAATATAATTTTACTCGTTATTTTTCAAATAGAGAATAAGTCACTTGTGATTATCAAAATGCAATTTTTATAATTCTTATCTGTAATTTTAAATTATCAATAATACTACTAATATTTAAAAGAGGATTTAAAAATATGTTCTTATTTGTTGTAAAAATAAACAAAATAAAAATAACAAAGGTATGAAATTATAACTTTATATATGGAAAAATAGAACAAAAAATATTTAATGATGATACAAATCTAACCTTTACCTTGTCTGGAAGCATGATATATTTTTATAAATAAAAGTTGAGAGTAATATTTCGAGATATAGAAATCATGGAAATAGAACTATTTCTTGCAACAAAATTTTATTTGAATTATAATAAATCATCCTGTCATTATCATTGTACTACAAATCATTAATTGTCATGGAAAGTATATTTAGACAAACTTCAATTTACATTGAATAGAAATAGAAAGAAAAGAAAAAATAAACTTTGTAATTTAACATTGGCATACAGTATAATTATTTCACTATTATACGTCAAAAACCTCGAAAACACACCATATAGATGATTTTCTAATAATCTATTTTATTTCATATTTAAAGTGATATCACTAATTAATTTCAGTTATGTGACGTAAGAATCACCTATAAATTTCTAATTTGTTATATTGCATAAGATAAAAAAAAGAAAAAGAAAAAAGAATAGGCGATTTCTTTGGAACACCCTAGATATTGAGTTCCATTGGTCAAGAAAGTTGATTATTTTGCAAATATAAAACCTTTTCTATATCTCTCCATATTTGCTTATGATTCATTAAAAGTCTCCTAAAATACTCTTCTTTAAGATAGTTTTGCCCACGCTTTTTTGCATAGTGTTTTCCAACTCTTTTTGTTTCGGTCTTCTAAGTGCATATTTTTGAAATAGGGAAAAAAGTAATATGGGAGTTTAATTCATTAATTATTTTTTTTGTCATTCAGTCACTTAATAATGATTTTATTGGAATTACAATATGATAATGAAAATGCATTCTTTATCAACTTTCCCAATTTATTTTGTTTCATTCTTCTATTAAACAGGATAAGTAATAGACATGATTTATTTATTATTTTTTGTTTCCTTTCTAAGGACAAGTGAATTTTTTATTGTAAAAAATAGTTATTACAAATTTGAATTGTATAAATATCAATCAATTTTAATAATTAACTAAGATCACTATTTTAGAAAGTGTGATATATATTGGTTTTGGGAAATCAACGAAAACCGGGTGGGGCATTTTCTTCCCCTTTTCACTCCCCAATCAACACAAACATAAGAAAAGAACAAAGAACACCGGAGGAAGGCGGAGAGAAAGAAAATTTCCATTGTATTCAGTTTCATTGCTTGTTTGAAAAACTGAAACTATTTGCCACAGCCACTATAACTCAACCAGGTAGGTGATATACAAAAGGAAACAAAACCAAAAAACCTTGATTCCAAAGAAAAATGGAAACAGAAAAAAGCAAACCCGAAATTTTTAGCCATTTGGTAGAGAGGATTTCCCACTGTAAGCACCACTCTTCGACACGTATAACATTTACAGCTACATTCACAAAATCCCCTGTACCATCCATTCCTCTCTCTCTCTCTCTTCACCCTTGTTTGGAGAAAGAAAAACTATTTTTCTATTATTGGGTCTCAGAGTTTTTCTTTAAAGTTTTTCCTTTCCCTTTTCGGGAACACTGCCTCAGTTCCGTTCGTTTGAGGAATCCTATGTACCACCTCTTCAACAACCTAAGCCGCCGCAACTGCCCCCGTACGGAACGAGTAACCTTGCGCCTTGTTTGGCGACGTGGATTTGCTTTGCTCCTTATTCCTCAAAGCCTTCATCGATGAAGAAAGGTTCCTGTTCTTCTCTTTGGCTTCGTCTATCTCTATTTGTTCTTGCCTGCACTCCTCGCTACAGAACGGCGTGTCCCCTCTGCAACAAACAATTCAAATCCCAATCAGATCTAATTCACAACCAATAGTTTCTTCCAATTCATGACCAAAAGGGTCTTTTGGAAACCCAAAAAAATTAAAAAAAAATATTTTTTTTCGACAAATGATGTTGTAGTAGTGGCTGACCTATACATGAAGATGTCTCTGTTGTCCCCGAGTGGTTTTTTACAGAGGAAACAAGCGGCGAGGAAATGAGAGTGGTGATCTTCGAATCTGGCGTCACAGAATCTCTTAGATCTAGGAGAGGAAACAGAAAGGGTGTTCCTTATACCGGTTCTGCTATAGGAGGTGGCGTAACCCATGGTCATGGACCTGGATACGAAATTGTTGGCACGATGGCATGCATCCATGTCGGTTAAGGAAGCCAAACCGTGGTCTTGTTCCAAGTAAGAGGGTCTTGATGTAGTGGTAGTGCGGGAGGAGCACATGAATTCAATTTAAGGTTTGGTTTGGGGAGTGATGTTGTTGGTTAATGGTTTGATTTGTTGGAGGAAGGAGAGAAAAAAAGGGTGTGGAGAGAGTGTAGAAGAAAGTGGGAGGAGAGATGGTTTTATAAATAAGGTGGAAGGGAGGAAGAAACGGGTTTGTAATTGAAAATGGAACAGAAGACCAGAGAAAGAGAGAGAGAAACAAACAGCACCAGGTTTGGTTCAAGGAATCCTTGAGGGTGAATCTATTGGCTCAAACTACCACCATCACCACCGTTCAAAGTTGTGATTTTTTTAGGAATTGTATGATTGAGGGAATAGGGAGTTGCCACCAAAGTTGGTGCAAATTACAAATATGACTTTCACTTCAATTTTACTGCATTTAAGGACATTTTTCGTTGTAAGTTATAACTTTTTAAAATATATTTAGTTTTCAAAACTAGGTTTTTGTACTGTGGTTTTAAATTTTAAAATACTGAAATCAGTCTAAATGTTAAAATTAGTTTTAGATTTGTTTCATGCAGTGAGAGAATCGTGATAACATTATAGTCAATCATAACATAATAATGATGTCAGTGAAATTAGCAGTAACAGTAAAAGTTATCATAAAGGTCAGGTTAAAAAATTACTGAATTGTACTAGAATATTTTTTAACTTTAATTTTCATAATTTTTTTTAATTTATAAAAAATTATTTAACCAGTTCACCCTTTCTCATTTTGTTTGAAATCGTGTACTTTAAAAAATATAAAAACCACCTGAATGGACCAAATATTTTAAAAATTACCAAATTTTAACTTAAGGACGAAAATAAATTAAACTCATTTTTGGTGAAAAAAAATTTGACAAACGCTTTTATCAAATAATTATGGTTGAAAATACTTATTCTAATTTAAACTAAAATATAACTTTGTAATTAAAAGAAGGAGAACGGGGTGTTTTGGGCAGAAAGAAAAAGATCTTCCCCAGTCCCAAGTGGTAGGTCATAATTTGGACCAAAGTAGGGATGTATGTGAATGTGAGGAAGTGAGTCTCACTCGCGCCACTCTTTGTGTATGGGGCGTGCAAAGTTGATGTGGGAGGGTAAAGAAAGTGCGGACCCCAACTCCTGCAATGCGCCAAAACGTAACAGACACACTGCCCCATTTCTGTTCAATTCATTTTAAATCATGGTTAATTACTTTTACTGCAGTATTTCATTATTTTATTAAATTCCTAAGTTCTCTTTTTTATTTTTCAAAACAATATTAATTTTGATTTTTTTGCAAAATGCTGACTTTATTATTTTAAAAAACGTAAATTAATTAATAATTGACCAGTTAAAATTAAACAACTTTTTAAAAATTAATTTCAAAAGCATTAAATTCAAATCAAATCAAACTTATATATATATATATATATATATATATATATATATATATATATATATAAATTCATGATACCATCATATTTTAATTTTTACATAATTTATACTTATTTATATAATAATACAAATGTAAATTATTATTTTATCATTTACATAATTCATTTTAAATTAAACGATATTAAGACTTAAATAGAAAACCTTTTTAATTTTTTAATTGAATTAAATGAAATTAAATTTAAACTAGACTAATTAGACAATAAAAACTAAATTAAATAAATATTTCCTTAATAACAAGCTTAAAATATATAATTCCCCAAAACCTTTTTTTTTTCGAGCAAATTCATGGGTCACCACCCCCTTCATAAGGCGTTTTTTAGTTCAGCAATTTTAAATTCGAAAGCATAAAAAAGCTCGATCATTTTTAACATACTGTTGAATGGGTGAATAACATGTGTTTTATAAGATGGATGAATAGTAATCCTCTTTCACTATATATAGGACCATGGATGTTGTTTAAGAAGTATTTAAACGTTAATAGTGAATAGTAGTACAATATTTAATCTATTACACTGAAAAATATTTAATACTAAATGTTTACCGCATTTATTATTTGTCCTAAAATATTTAGCATTTATTAATATTATCTAGTGCAGAGTGCAGTCCATTTATCACTTATCTATAACAGTTTTGATTGCTGTAAAATACAGATGTGTGAGATGAATATCGAATAGTGTGTAAAATACGTTAATTTGCAGAAAAATGTTGTGTGTAAAATGGAAAATGATTAATGTTAAAAAAAATCTTCTATAGTAAAACAACTACTACATAAAAATAAATATATTTTTATTAGAATTCATATATTTTATTTTCTATTTATCTATGAGAAAAAAATACTGCAGAGTTGGAAGAAAATATTTATTTTATAAAGTTTTTTATTTTTATTATCATATTTATAAATTCAATACATGTGAATAAATATTTTTTTATTAAATATGAATATTTAAATACCAGTAGAGATCTGTATTTATAGGTTAGTTTTTAATTATATTGTTTCAGTAGAGTGATAAATAATTAATAATTAATAATTTTATATATTTTATATTTTTAATATAATATTATTTTTTTAAGTAAAATTTAAATATTTTAAAAGTATATATAGTTGTAAAAACAAATTATTTTATAAATATTTATATATTATTGAGACAAAAATCTTAATTTTAAGTTATTAATTAAAAATATTATTTTATTCATACAAATTAATTAATAATTATACGCATTTTTTTATTATATAGATATTTCACATTAAATTATTTATTTTTATACAATATTATTTTTTTGTTACACTTTATAGAAAAAGTAATAGTTATCTGAGTTTAAATAATTTTTCAAAAATTTTAACTTGGAATATTTTGTTTAATTATGATAACATAATGAGTTTGTATTTTATATTTTCTAATGTGAGTGGTCATTCATTATTTTATTTTTTTATACAAATTAAGATAACACATTTACAATTTAGTTATTTTTGTAAAAAAAAAACATTTTAACGTTATAAAAATAAAAAATAATATTTTTTACCTAATTCAAATAGTTAACACCCATGAATGTGGTGTAAAAATAAAGACATGATTACTTTGACCTATTTCCAACTTTCAATAAAGAAATGGGTTGGATAATCATGACAAATTGTGTTGTTGCAAGATAATTTCAAAACCAATAACTTTTTAAATATTTTTTATAAAAAATAATTTGTGTTGGATACATTTCATTAAGAATTGTAAAAAAAAAAAAGAGAAAAAAGAATTATATTGTTTAGTAGAAAAAAGAGTGATAGGAAAAAAAATGCACATATATTATTTGGTCGTGTTGAAAATAAATAAAAAGAATTGGTAGGAGTATTATTAATATGGGAAATGCGTGGTAACACGCGCGCAGAGTGTAAGTGGAAAAGCATTGGTAGGAGTATTGTTTTGGCAGTGAACCAAAGGTTTCGCTTTTTCCCAAAAACCTTGCTTCTCACTCCAGGACCTTGATTTGACGTCATAAATTCTTTTAACTTTTTTGGAAACAAGATTCTTTTGTCGTTTTGGTGGAGATGGGCCCACTTCACAATACCATGGACGCTTTGGGTCCCTCACCCATCATGTTGATGATGATGCATGGCGTGGCTCGTTCCATGGTTTAAATGACTCTTCGGGAATCCTTTATTTTTTATTAAATTTATTTATTTATTACTCACGCAAAGGACAAATTAGAGAGAGATAGCGGTTTTCCCGAAGACTAGTAGCCCACTCTACCCGACCCAGCTGTTCCCCTTATTTGAATGGTCTACACGTGTGCCTCTCAATCGTGCCATCGCCCAACACATGTATTTCCCTTTCACTGCCACCTTCATACCTTATTCTCTCTCACCTCTGCACATTTCTCAAATCTTATGTCACCACCATCAAATTCACAAATTTACTGTTACTTCTTTCTTAAATTATTTCCTTTTTTCTCTACTTAGATTTAAAAATAAAATTAAATTAATTCTACCACTGTATTAACCCTTACAAAACATAAAGCATAACTTTCTGCCATAAAATATAACAGTACCACTATTTATTCATCTATTTATTAAGTATTTTAATTTACTTATAATTAAATTGGATTATGATTAGTTGAATTAAATCAATTTACAAAAATTATTTTTATATCAACATTTTATTACTTTAACAATTATTTTAATATATTTTTATCAAATTTGTTAATTAGAAAAACAAGAAAGAGATGAAGTGAAAAATAAAACGAAATATAAGAGATGAGAAAAATAATAAATAATAAAGAAAAAAAATGAGAAAAGTAAAAAACAATAAATTCATGAAAAAAATAACTACTTTATCTATAATTTTATATTTGATTATGAAACATAAATCATCAATTAATTTTTAATTAAATACATTAATTAATTGAGATTTTATTTAAATCATATTTTTTAAAATTATATTATTTAATAAATTGATTCATCACTTTAAATATAAAATTGTTTTTATTTAATATTTTTTAATAAATGTCAACCACAACAAAAAAACAACTTGACGTGATTGTTGGTATGAAAGAGAGTAAATAATACAGTGTTATCACTAAAAACACAAAATTATAATAAAAGATAGTTTTATTATTTTAATTTTAAAAATAATTTGAAAATTAAAAAAAATGTTTTAAAATATATTTAATAAAATAATCATAAAAAATACTTAACAATAATATACAAGTAAATCCCAATTATAAACAGTTTTATATTTTATTCAAATAGAAGCAGCATAAAAATGTAATATATATACATTTTTACTTACTACTTAATTCCTATAATGTTTAAAGTTTAAAATGTATTTTTGAAACTAAATAATTTAAATATATAATTAATCGTTATCTACACCGTATGTTTGATTAATTGGTCCTTAAAAGTTTAAAATAAATTATTTTCCATTCGATGCTTAACTTGTAGTTCGAACTTGGAAAAATTAGTATATATTTTGAAAATTGAAATAATAACTATATTGAAAGAAAGATCAATTACACTATGTTTGTACGAAAGATTGTAGCATGAAATATGATACATATGCGCGGATTATACGGGTATGATTAAATTCTTGTGTATAAATTTGCATGAAAAGTTAAGTAGATTCATAAGTATAAATTTCATTTATATGGGAGAGAAATTTCATATTTCATTTATTGTTATAATTTCTCATAAATATCTCTAATATTCATGAAATTTCTTTGAGACGTTTTTTTGTTGTACTCGATACATTTATAAGTTGAAATAATCATGATTTTACAACAATAATTCCATACAAAATGTTTAATTTTTAGTACTCTCTCGTTTCGTTTTACTTGTTTTATTTGAGCAATTCAATTCAAGTCTGAAAAGGGATAATTTAGACATCTGTTAATGTGTGGTTTCGCAGGTAAAAAAATTATATATATCAAGTGAGAATATTCAATGAATTAATATTAATTCAATAACTTGTATGAGCAATCAATAGTGAGTGCAAGTTAAATAAATTTTAGCACTTGGGTGGTGATTAAGCTACACTGGGTGTCCAATTAATTGCACATGAAAAGCCATAATCTTTTTATTAATTAATCAAATATTGATAGTTTTTTTTTTTATCAAAAACGAATATATTCCAGTTATGATTCTAGACAAACATTAGAAAAAGAGTATCATGCATAAGGACACGCATAAGGTAGCTAAGAAAATTAGAACTAGAAAGGTCTTAAAAAGAATAGGAACCTCATGACAAGTATTGAAAGAAACAATTAAAGAAAAAAATGTAGTAAAAGAAAGACCACGATGGAAAGTGATAGATGATTTGACATAAATAAAATATATTTCCAGAATATAATTGTGTGGTGTTGTTAGATAACACTTTGATGTGACGAATTTTGCTGAAGATATATTAATTATATTGTTTTACGGTTATAAAACAGTTTTAAGTGATGACAGAACCCCTCAACAATATTTGTTCCGGCAAAGAATAAAATTACTAGGAGTTCAAAACGACACGTGTGTAGATATTAACAGATGAAAACCATGCGAGAGTTAATTTTTTCTCTGCTGCTGCAGTTATGCTTCTCACTGGGTTCCTTTTGCAATCTGCGCAAGTTTTTTAATGCTTGCCAGTTACTATTTTACTACTGCTTTTATTAAAAGCTGTGTTTTGTTGGTTGTTGGCAATACCTTATGATCTATTTTAGAGAAAGAGAATGAATGATCATTATATTATATTTAACAATATGTTTTCAATTCAGTATATAAAAATGTATAAAAAATTACTGTAATATTTCTTTAAAAATAATTTTTATACTTTAATATTATTTATAAATTCTTATAAAAGCAAACTATAAAATATAAATATTTCTATAAAATATTATAAGTTTATTTGTAAGTAATATAAATTTATTTTAATTTAACAATTACTTCATATTTTACAATATATCATTTTAATTTGTATTTATTCTTTATTGAAATTATAAAATATTTTAATTATTCATTAATTAATCTTATTATTTTCCTTTTTATCAATACAAAAATCTTATTATTAAAATATTTCCATTCGTTTTTCCTTTTTCGCTCCCTTTCTCTTTTTTCTTTTTGACTTTCCCGAATAAATTTTCGATTCAAACACACAGATTAATAAATAATAATTATGACAACACCAAAAATAATAATAAAATATTAGACATCAAATAACTAATAGCATTGATATTGAAAAATAATATAATGATGATAACATTAGAGATAAAAAAAATATAGTCGTTTAATAATTATAGTGATAAATTAACTATGATAACAAATAAAAACGACATGATAATTATAAATTTTAATTTTTTAATTAATATTTTAAATACGTATGTAATTTTGGTCAATTTCATTTTCAAAAAGAGTAATTCTCATATGATAAGAATAGTTATATATAGACAAAATAGGACACGAATTAAAAGTATAACTAATTTTGTTACATTAATTCGCTCAGAGTGTATAGTATACAATAAATATGTTGATTTTTTATAAACAAAATAATGTCCAAGTTAATATACTAAAATATAAATAAAATGCAACTAATTCAACCTTAATTAATGTCATTATTTAAAAAATACTCTTTAAGTTATTTTAAGTGTGAGCATTGCTTTCAATAAATATGATTTATGATACTGTTTAAAATACATAACTTGTTTACAGGAAATAATAAATGAATTTAAACGACACCTATTAATTAATGTGAATTAAATGTTTTTATTTATAAAACTATTGCTAATAAAAAAATTTATTTAGGCGATCTTACAATTTTTAATATTCGGTATATAAAAGTTAAGTTAATAGTATAACGAAATTGCTATATATTTAATCAAATATAAAATTATTTTATAAAGTCTATCCTAGCTTCGATGTGACAATGTGATTATATTAATGTGTACTTTGTTGAAGTGGGTTTTGTTGATTATTAGTTTGTGACATGCTTGTAAAGAGAAGGAAAGAATAAAAGATCTCGTATTTTAAGGACATCTACTTCATATAATAATTGCCATCATTCTTTCTTTTTGGCCCGTGGAATCATAGACTCTTTAAACATCACCTGTTTTTCTTATGGTCAATTAGAAAAATATTATATAAATAAAATGTACAGTTCAAGAAAAATATTAAAATATAATAAATAAACAAATAAATCGAAAAGGTTAAAAATAAAGTTAAAGTTACTAATGATTTTACATTTTTTTCTCTCCTTTTGTCTCGTCTTTTTCTTTACTAAACACTCCCTCTCCTTTTATTTATAATATTTAAATTTAAGGTTCGTTTAAAAAAATATTATTAACAAAATTAGTTACTTATTTATTAATTTCTGTAATATTGAATATAAACAAATTACAAAATCAAATCATATAATTTAAAAATATATAACGTATTCCCTCTTTATAGGATTTAAATATCCAAACAAAACTACTTACACTTCTATAACTCTGAGACACAAGTTTTCGATCATGTCTCTTATGATGATATGAACAATTATTATTTAGTGAATATATATAAATTCAGTGGTTGAATAGTTTATTCAAATTCAACACGGGTCCTTATAATCTTTACTATGCGCCCACTGATTCCTCACCAAACTTTTAATATCTCCATGAAGACATTACTTAAGGAACTGATTAGTACATATTATTTGGTAAAATTTTACACCATTAATGACTAAAAAAATATCATTAACTATTTTCAGGACAATAATTATAAAATTAATAAATTTACCGGATATAATAATTTATAATTCAATTGATAATTATTTAAATTTGTTTTACGTATATTTATTTTCTCTTATTCTAACCGTTGATTTTTTTTTCTTTTTTAAAAAGGTGCTAGTTCTTTTACTTTTACTTTTTGTCATCAATCAAACAAAATTTAATCACGGGTAGGTTAATTATGTTAAACATTATAAACTTCCTGATCATGTTATTTATGCAACAAATTTCATCACAGTTTCGATAACTTTCA